TAATTGTAGTCCCCTCTCCCCTCCCTCCGACCAAGCCGAGTTGATGCCTATTTTACGGTTTCCAAGCTTTCACAGAAGCTCAACACTCTAATCCCCCACTAGATCTCATTGTCAGCTACATTTTCCAACCCCACATCAATAGGTTCTGATAAGCGGTTCTCGAGATTTCGAGCAATTTAGGCGACGCTCAAGGTGCACTACTATTAGAGAAAATACCGTATTCTCTGTGCTTAGCACTCCTCACTCGAGACACGATATTTCTTGCTTTGATTGATCTGATCTCACTTGATTTCCCATCTGATCAGTTCTCTCTCTTAAACTCAGGTCTCTTAAACTAAGTTGAATAACTATTCCAAAGTAATTGGGTAACTAAACCGAAGTCTTTTAAGGGCTAAAAGTAACTTGAACAACTAATCTCCAGTGAATAACTTGTCCAGAACAATTGGGTAACTAAACCGAAGTCTTTTAATGGGTAAAAGTAAGTTGAACTAAAGTAAAGTAACTAATCCGAAGTTGAATAACTATTCCAAAGCAATTGGGTAACTAAATCGAAGTCTTTTAAGGGCTAAAAGTAAATCGAACTAAAGTAAAGTAACTAATCTCAAGTTGAATAACTATTCCAAAGCAATTGGATAACTAAACTGAAACCTTTCTAGACTTAGAAGCTAGTAGGGTAACTGAATCAAGTCGCCAACTCAACCAAGCTGCGTAATTAAACCTGTGAGGTAACTCGTGAAATAGAAATCGCAAAAACTGAGCCTGGTAATGTCTTTAAGTATTAACCAATATAAATTGACCAATTCTGAGAAATTTTGGTTTCAAAAAATTGGGTAGCTGAACAAAAAAGAAACCAAGTACAGGTACAAGAGTTCATTTGTAATCAGATCCAGAAAAATACGCCATAAGAGAATAGAACTTTGAGCTCGAAAATTTTCAAAACCCAGACACAGGATTGTTAAAGGATAAAATGTTATTCAAAAAGTGTAAAAAAAAATTTCTTTTCAGGATCGTTTCCTTTTTCGTTTCTCATTAAAAGCTCTTTTGTCTCAATTTTTTCCAGGATTAGATCGAAAAAAGAAAAAAGATGAAGAAATGGAAAAGAAACCTTGATTCTTAATAGTTTTTTCTGTTTCTAAACTGTTATAAAATTGATTTTCAAATTCAATAACAAGAAATATCTCTTGCACCGCTTAGTTGCACTGCACCGCTTAGTTGCACTGCACCGCTTAGTTGCACTGCACCGCTTAGTTGCACTGCACCGCTTAGTTGCACTGCACCGCTTAGTTGCACTGCACCGCTTAGTTGCACTGCACCGCTTAGTTGCACTGCACCGCTTAGTTGCACTGCACCGCTTAGTTGCACTGCACCGCTTAGTTGCACTGCACCGCTTAGTTGCACTGCACCGCTTAGTTGATTTTTAGTGATTTAAAGTATCTAAAGTATTGAAAAATCCACTAAAAATCACTAAAAATCAACTAAATATCCAATAAACAATTAAAAAATGACTCAAATTATGCGAAAGAATATGTTTTTTTTATAATCAGCTCTTCAAAAAACAGGTGTAAACCCTTTTAAACTTCTTTGAAATGTCAAGATTTAAAAGAAAATAAAGAAAAGTATTTGTTTAGAGAAATAAGTAGAAGCAAGAAACAGAAGCAGAAAAAAACAGAAGCAAAAATCTTACACTAAATTTTACATTAATAGAATGTTTCAAAATTGCAAAGGGCAGCCAACCTATCCCTCTTTTTCGAGACTTATTCAATGTTAATCCCACGGTTAGTTCAAGGAGAAGTTCTTTCGTTTTAGAAATTCCAGTCACCTCCAATAAGTTTGTTTATATCTCTTTTCCAATAAGCACTGCCAGAGTTTGGATTTGGAATTTGGAATCGACACCCCAGAGTTTTGAGAGAGAGTCCAATAGTCTCGAAACCTTTAAATTATCTGTAGATGATCTTGATCTTGAAGCTCTAGTGGATCCTTGAAGCTCCGGTGGATCCTTGAAGCTCTGGTGCATCCTTGAAGCTCCGGTGGATCCTTGAAGCTCTGGTGGACCCTTGAAGCTCTAGTGGATCCTTGACGCTATCTGTGCTACCCATATATTACATATATTATATCGTGTTGCTTTTTATCAGCCCTTTTCGTGTTATGTGTATGAATTCATGTGTTTTAATCCTAAATCTAGCGCACTTTATTTCAGGTCATGAATAAAGTATCTATATATATATATACATATGTCGTAGCCGCTTACGACTATATAGAAAACATACCGTAAATACTGTAATAGTACCGCACCCCCTCGTACAGTCGCGTAGTCTCGAAAGTTTTTTAGTATTTCATTTTTTTCAAAGCACCCGTACTTTGAAAAAATGCGTCTTTGGTATCAAAAAATAGCCCTGAATTTCAGCTATATTTAATCGCGCCTTGTAGCATAAAGCAGTGTCGAGAAAAACTCGTTCAGAGCTAGACTACGCAACACTCCGCACCGTCATTATGGGGGTGGGGTACTATTACAGTATTTACGGTATATATTGTTTCCACGAATTCTAGAAATATTTATTGTTTTGTATAACAAATACCTTTATTCATTAAAATTTCAAGTAAAACTCGAACCAATACCAAATAAGAACCCGTGTAAATAGAAAAGCAAAGTGATTTTGTTGTTGAAAAGCTCAATTTGTCATCTAAACTTAAAGATCTCAAAAAATGGTGATTTTGGAAGAAATTTGCATAAAAAGAGAAAGGTTAAAAGGCTTAAAAGTACAAAGAACAAATAGAACAAAGTCCAAATAAAGTCTAAAGTCCAAATAAAGCATTGAAATGTAAAACCACAAAAAGTTGTAATAGTTTTGGACTTGACAGTACAGGGTACGTGACGTGACGGTACGTGAAATGTTCCGCCACCTCTCCAAGAATCATTTGTACGGATCAAAGCAAGGAATTTTGAGAAAAACAAATTTGAAATTTGAAATCTTTGACTATTTTTCCCCTAGAAATGCTTTTTCATAAAAGATTTTGTTTTGGAAATCAGTTTTTTTTGGCTGCATTGCTGGCTTCTGGCTTTTGAGCGCCGAAAATTTTAACGGTGCTTTTAACGGTGCTTTAAAATGAAGAGCTCTTAACCAATCTGACCGTAAAATGGCTAGTTTTAAAAGGAAATTGTTTCTTGTTTTCTTATTTAGAAAAGTTTTGGCTTTTTCTTATTTTAAAATCAATTAACACCGCGACCAATAAAGTAAATGAATTTCGCTAGGAATCGAGCAAAAAACAGATTTTCTTACAAAAGATCTTTTTAAAAAAAAAGCATTCTTACTAGGGAAGTCAAGATCGAGACAAAAGGATATCAAATTTGAAATCTTTGACTATTTTCACCTAATCTTAGTATTTTTACCCTAACTAGGGAAGTGCTACAGGTCAAGATGGCCTTCTTTAATGAAACCTAGCTCATCTTACGCAGTTTTTCATGGAGATTCCGAATCCGCTTTCAAAATCGGTAGAACAGCTATCTGGCAAAAGTGACAAGCATTTTAAGTTTCGGGCTGCCTCTATGAAGTCCCTTTCACTCTGACAGCCAAGTGGGCTAGTGGCGTAGTGGGTAAGGGCCTTGTATCAAAGACGGCCTACCCGTTTTTTGCTCAGCTTCGATCCCTCTCTTCCCTTTGACTTCTTGATTCTCATTCAAAAAGACAATAATTGTTGTAAGAGCTGGGAGTAGGCATATTATTATTTCCATTGTTTCATTGTCTTGTTTGTTTGTTAAAACTTGTTGAAAAGGGGTAAAGTCTTGTTTCAAGTAATTGCCAAAACTTAAAATACTCATAACTTTTACCAGATAGCTGTTCGACCGATTTAGAAAGCAGATTCGAAATCTCCATGAAAAACTGTGTAAGATGAGCTAGATCTCATCTGCGCAAGATATTAAAGAAGGCCATCTTGACCTCTTGCACTTCCCTAGTTAAGGCAAAGATTTCAAATTTGTTGCCCGTTTGTCTCTATTCGATTTGCTTTTGTCTGAAGAAATTCGATCTGAAGAAGTCGATCTTTGGAGAAGGACAGAACTTTTGAACCTGTATTTTTAAACAGTAAAGCTTTGCATCGGTTCTAACGACTGATGAGTTGGACTCCTTGGTGGCGGTTGTGGCAAATCCAAAGAGTCTTCCCTCAAAAATTGGTGACTCGTCGCCCTTTTTGACCCCTCAATATTCAGATTTCCATTTCTCAGCTCTTCCTGACTCATAGATTTCTTGAAAACGGGTGCTTCACGAAAATTTCCCAATGCAATCTGTTGACTTATCGATTTTTCAGGTAGAAAACTTTCAGGAACAGGAACAGAAAAATTGAGTGAGCTATTCCTTTCTTTACTTGGCTCAGAAGCAGCTCGAAGTCTGGAATTCTCTAATCTTTCATCAATTGGTTTGAAAAGGATTAAAGAGGAATGCGTGAATGTTCGATTTCGTGCATTCTCCGGAATTGTGAGCCCAGACTCGACGTCACTCTCGTTTCCATCGGAATCGCTTTCCATAGCTTTTTGTGAAGTCTTGCGTAATTTTGGGAAACTATTTTCGGAATTTTCTTCATCTTCGGATAAAGTTCGGCTCACTTTTGATTCTTTTGATTTACGGTAAGCTTCTCTTCTTGTCGGGCTTTCTGGGATGTCTAAACTTTTCTTTTTCAAATTTGCATAGTCATGGCTAGAAGTTGGGGTGATTGAGTGATGATGATGGTGATGTGAATGTGAATGAATTTCAGCTTCCGTCTCATTTTTAGTTGTGGAAATATCGGGGCTCTCTGGTGGCATTCGGAACTCCATATTGTCGCAGTCAGCAGTGAGTTGCCTAAAAAAGAACGGATTTAAATTGCAGCCAACTTTTGTCCGTCTTATTCTTAGTGTTACAGAGATCAATTGGACTCAAAAAGCATTGAACTGGGCTTAAAAATAGCTTGATTTGCTTGGACTCAAATTCGGAACAAGCTGCAATTCAGTTTCTAGAGTTGTTGCTTCACCAAGCACAAAAGCGAATACCATAGCTTTCCCCATACCTCATTTTATCCAGGAGCTCTCTGCTGATAATCGCTTTATCGTTAGCCTCATCAATTTCCACATGAATTTGCAGCTTTTCATTGATTGCCTTCTTCTTTTTCTTCCAAGCCATCTTCATCTCAACCAGCTTTGCCATGTCGAATTGAGGGTTTTCAGAAAGCTGAAAGAAGAAAGCGTTAGTAAAATCAGAAATTAAAGCTTAAAATTTGTGTCAATTGTTCAACTCGGCGCTAAGGATCTGTAAAAATATTGAAAATTGACTAATTTCGGCCGTCGATCACTTTCACTCGGCTCAAAGGCTCGGCCGATCGCTCGGCTCAAAGGGCCAACTATATAAAAAAGCTATGATAAGCTATGGACAGTGGTTTAAGTATATTTTTATTAAGGTTTTCATTTAAAAAAACTGCTTTATTCATTTTAAACTGCTTTCTTTAGTCATTTTAAAATCAAGTTTTAGTAAAAAGTTGTCAGGGAACTTTTGGATCACTCTTTAGAGTTCGATTTACTCTTTTATCCGACCTCGTAGCCCGAAAGCGGACAAAAATTTACATACTTTAACAAAATTTGCCTATTTTAAGAGCAAATTTGGCATTTAGCCCTTTAAAAATGGGATTTTTATGTGGTCGAATGCAAATTTAAAGCTATTTTCTAATTTTGGCGCAGATTTTGGTACTCATGAGTTATTCATCAACAGCGGGGCTCAACTGGGAATCTATAATACATCCATATCTCTAATTTGTGGATTTTATGAATGTATTTCCCCTGTAATTGCATAACCCTATTTGATTTGCAACAGCAAATTTGTGGATGTCTAACCCCAGTTGAGTCGCTATCTACTATATATAAAGCAGAAGAAACGTCTGTTTGTCCGTCTGTTTGTCCGTCTGTTTGTCCGTCTGTTTGTCCGTCTGTTTGTCCGTCTGTTTGTCCGTCTGTTTGTCCGTCTGTTTGTCCGTCTGTTTGTCCGTCTGTTTGTCCGTCTGTTTGTCCGTCTGTTCGTCTGTTTGTCCGTCTGTTCGTCTGTTCGTCCGTCTGTTCGTCCGTCCGTCTGTTTATCCGTCCGTCTGTTCGTCCGTCCGTCTGTTCGTCCGTCCGTCTGTTCGTCCGTCCGTCTGTTCGTCCGTCTGTTCGTCCGTCTGTTCGTCTGTTCGTCCGTCTGTTCGTCTGTTCGTCCGTCTGTCTGTCTGTTCGTCTGTCCACAGCCATTGGCAAAAAGGGGCGGGGCTTAGATTCCGTGGAAAACGTGGACCTCCCCAGTGGACCTCCAGGAGAACGCGAACATTAATGGGCATTTTCCGCTGTTATGTGGATATATAACCCATAAGAACCCAGCTTTTAAACAAAAATCCAAATTTACGACGTAAATTGGATTATTTTTCGAATTCAAGTCAAAGAAATTTCTGGCTTTGGGCGGCAAAATTTTTGAAAATAATACGTTTTGCCCCCTTTAAAACCGTTTTGGAGGCAAATACAAAAACTACAGAAGCTACAAAAGCAAAAACTACAAAACTGAAACCATTTGCCCCCTTTGCCTCTCGAATTGCCACTCCAATTGTGGCCTAAACGGATTTGAGTCGACTCCACGTTTAACTCGACAATAGAGTCTCTTCATCGGCTCAGGTTTGACTCAAAAAGTCCAGTATTTTCCCTAACAAACCTTTCTTTCCCCTTCCTCTTCGGGTCCATCTGTCGGTCCCTTAGGTTGCCTTCCCAGCATTTCATCCGTTAATGCACATTGATCATCTTGGAAGGTCAGTTGAGTGACACCACTCGGTGAAGTCGGGCCGCTACTCGTTGGCAATGAAAGATATCCTGAACTTGGCGATAAAATTCACCATTCTTGAATGAACCCACCATATTGCTCGTCTCCTAGATTTAACAACATGGAGATTTTCGCTCTCAACTCATCGAAAGTCGGCCGATCTTCTCCCTTGAACTCCCAAGCGCCTTTCATCAATATGTACCTGAGAGTCTTCATGAAGAAATCCATTTGTAACTCACATTTCATTCGGGCACTTCACTGGTTGTCTCATTCGATTGCCTTCTTCAAGATATTGGATCATTTCCATTGGTTGCACAGATGGATAAGGAGCTTCTCCAAGAGAGAACATCTCGTGAAGCATGATACCGTAAGACCAGCTAAAAGTAGGTTAATCCAAAGTAGGTTAATCCAAAGTAGGTTAATTCAAAGTAGGTTAATCCAAATTTCCGGAAATCTCCTTTTTCGAACTAGCAACTCCTCTTTTAAGCTCCAGATTGGCCACACGCGCCTTAGACCACTCAGTCACGAACCATTAGATAGTTTCTCTCGAGTTTTCTAAAAAAATCAGCTAGCTACCCTACAAATTTAATGCCGGATTCGAAAAGAGGACCCAGAATTACATCCCCTGACAAATTTTCAGCTCGTTTGGTCCAGGCAGACACCAGACAAAGCCGTGACTTAGCATTGAGCCATCGTCTATGTGAGCGATCGTCTATGTGAACGATCGTCTATGTGAACGATCGTTTATATATTAATTTAAGCACTAGCAATCAAGGTATCCAGTTTATAAAGTGCATAAAGAGAGGGAAAGATAATTCACTTCTAACCAGCTTGTAAAGAAGCTGGTTCGAAGTGAATTTCGATTACATTTTGACACTGAAAATCCTAGACAAGTAGCAAAAACTCTCGATGATTTTTATCATTCAACTTACACTTCAGTCTTTTCAGTGTACTCATAGAATTTCAGTGATTCGGGTGCCATCCATTTGATCGGCAAGCGACCACCTTTCGCAGTGTAAAGCGATGAGTCAGCATAGCGACAAAGACCAAAGTCAGAAATCTGAAAGTTAAGTCAGAAATCTATTTTAGAAAAGCCCTATTTTAGAAAAGAAATAGCAGATTTTATTGGTTCAAACACTCAGCTTCTACCTTTGCACACATTCCCTTTGTCAACAATATATTCCGAGCCGCCACATCTCGATGAATGAATTTGTGAGAGCTGAGGTAGCACTGAAAATAGAGCGATTGATTTATGACTAGAATTGTTAGGGGTTTTCAAAAACGATATGAAATTCTAGCTCACCAATCCATCGCAAACTTGCCAGGCAATCGATACCAAGTCTTTGATTTTCATTGGAACCTCATAATCAGGGTAATCGTTCTCTTTAGATTCTTTTGGAGTTTCATCCTAAGATTAAATCAAAAGTTTTGAAGTAATTTTGAAGATTTTGATTGCTTTCGATTGCTTTCGATTGAAGATTACTAATCCCAAAAGATTTTCCATCACTTACTTTCAAAATACTTCCCTTGTTCTTCCTCAAGAACCTCAAAAGGTCACCGTGTTTACAATACTCCACCACAATTAATGGGTCTGAAAGGAGTTGTGTTAAAGCGCTAAGCACTAAATTTGAATTTCAAAATTTACCTATTGGATTCGAGACACAACCCAGCATTGAGATCACGTGTGGATGATAGCCGAGTCTTTTCATGAAAGACATCTCGTGGAAGAAATCAACCCGACCCTCATGGTTCGCATGAGCTGGGAGCTTCTTGACGGCCACCTGAAAAGAGAAAGCTACAAACTAGAGGCTTAGCTCACCCATTTGTTTATAATAATGTAAGGAAATGAATGGCAAAATGTTTGGACCGAGTAGAGTTAAACCCTCGACCCTGCTGCTTACCAGGCTCAACCACCGAGCTATCGGCTATATACGAGTGCCGCCTTATATATCAGCCCGCCTTATATACAACTCATTCTGAGAGATATTAGGGTGGTGCAAAAGAAACTCCCGATGGGTATCAGCTCTGATTTATCAGAAACGAGCGATGCTAACGGCATTATTTTTTTATGTTTTGTTTGCATATTTATTTGCTATTTATTTCGACATTTCAATTTTTTGGTTGTTGTTTATTTTACTTAAAAAGACTTATATTTTTTATTTAGATCATGGTCGAGCAAAAGTTTGTGCTACGAGCAGCATTACTGTTTAACTTCAAAATTGGAAAGTCTGCTGCCGAATCGCATCGTTGTCTCGCAAGGAACCAAAAGAGAAAAGGGGACCAAATTTCTAGAGAAAAGGAACCAAATTTGTAGAGAAAAGGAACCAAGTCTGCTGCCGAATCGCATCGTTCTCTCTGTGCTGCTTTCGGAGATGGCAGTTTGTCTCTCAGGCAGTGTCAGACTTGGTTTCAACGATTCCGAAGCTTTGGAAGATTACGAGCACGGTTCGCGGCCAGAAGTCGTGAACGAAGCCAAGCTGAGGGACGTTATACAGGCCGATCCATGCCAATCTGATCGAAATCTTGCGAAAATATTCCATTGTCACCATCGAATGCCATCTTTTTTTTGAATTTACCGTCAAATCGGCAGTTTCTTTTGCACCACCCTAATATTCAGTGTTTACCTGATTTGGATGCAAATTCCCTTTAAATGTAAAGAGATTCAATCTGCTCGACGTGTAAAGAGGATTACTAGTTACTCGACCAAAAACGTCGATTAATCGTTTAAAAATTACTCGTGCAAATTTTCACTCGAGTAATTACTTACTCGCGAGTAACACACCCTAGCTGCAACTGAAAATGACAATGAGTCTAGTGCAATTTTGAACCTTTGAACCGAAATAACATTGTAACATTGTAAAGACATTAAACCAAAACTAATAAACAATTAAACCAAAACAAATCTTTGTAAGCCTACCTCACTAGTCTCTCCAGTTGTATGCTCGAGGACGAGCTGCAATGAGGCATAGACTTTGAACAGTGGGATCTTGCCCTAAAAAAAGTTTGCTGTGCTGAAGAGCAATTCATTTGTCTTGTACTTTTAAAGTTCCGCGAAACACGCAAGCAAAAGCTCCATTCCCTAAACAATCATCGTGCACCAAGAGATCTTTTCCTTTAATTTCCCATTTGTCATTTCTGAAAAAGAAAGCTGGATTAGCGAATAGTTTGAAAGAAACTTGAATTGATCAGCCATTGCTTTGATGTCCATGTAATGATTCATTTGCTGGATGCTGAACTCAAGTTTTCTAAAACAGAGATATTAAAGTGGAATAATAGGTTGATGCGTTCAAAAGGGTCGGCTGGGGTTTTGTTTTAGAAATGACAGCTTGCCTGACAGCTGACTAGACACTTGGGACTTTCAAATAGAACTAGACACGTTCTCTGGCAGAGTCAGTAATGCTAAACTTGAGTCTAGTCTCCCAAAAGTACTGTACTTGCTTCCTTGAGCTCTAGCACAGCTCTTGCACAGCACAAATCTCGCATACAATTTAAAGATTCCAATTCAAATCATGACTCAAAGCCAGTGCAATCATAACTCAAAGCCAGTACAATCAAGAGTCAAAGTCTTATTTTGCCAGTTGTCAGCAATTTTCTCACTCACGCTTGTGGATCGGCATTCTCCAGTTGACTAGCGGTCGGCTGTCGTCCATTCCCGTAAATTTTCCACCATTTTCTTCCACTGTTTCTTGTCTTGCGAACACCGATCACCACACAAACAATGCAAATCACAGTGATTGCCAAGGTTGGAATAACAATGATAATGATCAACTCTGAACAGATCAATTCAATTCAATTCAGTATTTTATGCTTTCAACTTACTAAGGGCTGGGTTATTGTCTCCGGGAGTAGTGGTTGTATTGATGGTAGTGGTTGTATTGGTGTCGCTCTGAGAATACACAAGGTTCGTAAAGCAAAAGAGTATTGCCAGAAGTCCGATAACTTGTCTTCCCTCGAAAACTTTGTACCGCATATTCAGGTGAATAATCTAAAAAATCTTGAAACATTTCTGATATGCAAATTCTTAAATAACCAAAGCTGCAATAAAGCCCAAAGTTTGTTTTGTGTGGATTTTGCTTCAGAGTTGTTGAAAAGAAATTAGTAAAGGATTACCAAAGCAAAACATTTTCTAAACATCACTGGAAGTGATTTCACAAATTTCTACAAGATCTAGATAAGCAAACGATGAAAAAACTCCACATAAACATACAAACGCTCCAAGTAAACAATTGAAAATTGTTCGGTTTTCAAATTTTTATTAATTCTATTAGATTTCGATCTTATAATTGATGTTTCTAGACCCAAATTTAACGAGGAGTCCGTTTCGGAGCTCCTCCAAGCGATTCAGAGGATTTCTTATGGTCAAAAGATTGAAAAATCGTTTTCCCCGCGGGGCGATTAGATATTAGATTCTCGACAATTAGATTTTAACAAAGTGAATTAGGTAAACTTTAGGTGAATGACAACTTTTGTTTGTGAAACTTACTAGAAACAAGCAACAAGCAATAAAAACTATTCGAGTTTGAACTGGTGTATTTTTTTAAGGAAATTCTCCCATTGTCAGAAATCAAACATTGAAATTTGGATATAAGCAAAGAAGTTACTTATGGAAAGAAGCCATAAAACTGTGTAACAAAAACTGTGTAACGAAAACTGTGTAACGAAAACTGTGTAACGAAAACTGTGTAACAAAAACTGTGTAACGAAAACTGGGTAACAAAAACTGGCTAACGAAAACTGTGTAACGAAAATCATGTAACAAAAACTGGGCAACAAAAACTGGCTAACGAAAACTGTGTAACGAAAATCATGTAACAAAAACTGAGCAACAAAAACTGTGTAACGAAAACTGTTCAAGCCAAAAAACTGTGTATTGCTCATAAATTGAAAGGAAAACACTAGAAAAAAGAGTGTGAAAATTAGCACCCGCAAAAATTCTTTCTGAAGAAACGAGCCTTATCACGGTGTCAGCCTTGAATAATGACTCGAATAGGGAAAAGACGTGGAGGGAAATCAGCTTTTCGAGCCCATTTCGATCAATTTGGCTTATTTCCTCCATTCTGGCGCTATTAATCGGATCATGTTTAATTCCCGGCAGAAAGTTCACACATACCTTCGATTTGACCCGAGAATCAGAGCTTTTCTTCTGAAAATGACCGTGACAAATTGAGGGGAACACAGCAAGTAGAGATTGCGAAATAAGGGTGATTTTTGGAGTTCCGGAAGTGAGGAATGGGCTGGCTTTGTTGGTTGGCTTGGCTGGTTGGCTGTTGGGCTGATTTGCAATTTTTAAATAGAAAACGAAACAATGGTGGAATTGTATTCACTTTATCAGTGTTCTTTATCAAAAATGAACAATGAAAACAGTAAAAAACTCGATTTTATAACTATTGTAAGAAATATATTTATACTTTTATCTTTATAATTTCTTGTGAGACCGTGTCTCGGCGTGGTTCAATGGTAGATGTCTTGAAAACGCACAATTTATCAAAACTTTCCCTTATTAGGGCAAACTTCGCTCAAACTGGAGCAGCCTGGCACTATCACAATTACTTCAACACTTGCGTGTGAAAAAAGAATTGAATTCATTTGTATACTCTACTGTAAGGACATTTGTGTCAAAAATTTGAAAATTTGTGTCAAAGTTGAACTACCTACCTGGAAGAGTTGATCAACTTAGAGATGGTCTATAACTCAAGATATAGAAGTTGAATCCACTTGTAATTGCTCTTAAAAGAATCCTCATTAAATTTGGTTGTAGAAAAGTAGACTTGCTTTTGTATTCTTATGTATAAAAACATAGAGGAAATTCGTGTTAAAGTTGACCATCCAAAGTATAGGGTATACCCTATCAGGGTTTGGGGACTCTTCTATTTTCCTCCATAACTCGACTTCCAATTGACAGATCGACTCGGGGTTAGTTTTAAAATGTTCTTTATGAAATTTGGTTATAGAAAACCACAATTTCCTTAGTATACTCTAGTGTAAGAACAATAGAAAAGGGAGCACACAACTGACTCAAAACAAAGCTTAAATAATGGGCTTTTAAGTACACAAGCTACGCCAAGCGGACAACTGAATATCGTCTAGTGGCTGATTACGGTAGTTTATCCATCAACTTTGTGATGGATAAACATCAACTTAACTTGTTTATTGAATTTTGACTAACTGCAGAGCAGTGACAATTCGCCACAACCATTCTTATCGTTGAACTGAGAAAATTTTCAGAAAAGCTGTAATGAAAAAGAATGGAAAAGCTTTCAGACATAAGCCAGACATTTCAGACATCAAATTAAGCCTAACAAACTTTTTTCAATATTTCAATTACTCATTTTTTGTTTATTTTCAATTTCAATAGCTAATTGTTTAAAATTTCATATTCTGATGAAATATTTGAAAATTTTGAAGACTTTAACCAATGTTTGTACTAAAACTTCAAAAATACAAGCAATTATTAAAATTGAAACAAATGAAATCGTCTTGTAAACAATGAATTTGTTTTAAATGAATTTGGAAAGATAAAATTCCAGAGTTGACCTGTTGATGGGATTAAAATGACTCTAGTTACCCTTTTGAATAGATTAAGATCTATTCTAATCATCACTAATTGAACCCGACTTGGTAATAGGGTCGTACTTGTTAGAGAAAGTTAACTAGTAAGTAAGTAAGTGGGATGAAAATGACTCTAGTTATCCCTTGGAATAGATTAAAATCTTGTTAATCATCACTAATTGAACCCGGCTTGGTAATAGAGTCGTACTTGTTAGAGAAAGTTAACTAGTAAGTAAGTAAGTGGAATTAAAATCACTCTAGTTACCCCTTTCGTTTTCCAGTTAAGTGAAATTTGTTCCAGAAAACGGATTTATTGTTTCTTTTCGAGAAAACGGATTACTTTAGTTATAAAATTCATTGAGAAACAAGAATAGAAACTTTATTTACAATAAATATAGAAAATGATAAGTTTTCATGATGCATTGCTGTTCAGGAGTCAGCATTGGTGTTCAGGAGTCAGCATTGTTGTTCAGGAGTTAGCATTGGTGTTCAGGAGTCAGCATTGCTGTTCAGGAGTCAGCATTGGTGTTCCGGAGTCAGCATTGGTGTTCAGGAGTCATCATTGGTGTTCAGGAGTCAGCATTGGTGTTGAGGAGTCAGGGGTTGGTGAATTGAAAACTGCCGAGCTTTGAACTAAAATTTATTCAACACAAAACCATCAATTCATTCGAAGTAATTTCCATTATTATTGACGACTTCTGCCCATTTTACAGGCAAAAAGCAAACACAGCATCGGATTTGCCATGACCGATAGGCGTTTGTATCTCATTTTGCTGTTTAAAAGTCTCGGACCTTCTTTGAAGCGTTCCGTTGTTAGACGAACTACTGCGATTTCTCACCCTCCTCCTGTTTTTTCCAGTGGTAGACCAAAGCAGCAAAAAGATTTTTGATCATTTAGATTTCTTCGTCTTTTAACCAAAAAGAACAAAGGTCTAGAAGACCTCAACCTTGTCATTAAAGGGGACGAATAGATCTTCTCTCCTTCAATTACTCAACATTCAATTCTTGCAAAAACTTGGAAATATTTACTAAACCAAGTTTCAAGCTGCTTTTTTTATTGATTTGTTTTTGCTTCCAACTATTTGAGTTACAAACAAATTCTCAAAGATGTACGAGCCACCGTATTTCTACATTTGGTACGACCGTTTCCTCGTGCCGATCTCGATTTCATTGAACTCATTTGTCATTTATTGCATTGTCCACAAGACGCCGCCTGAAATGCGTGAATATAAGCCACTGCTTCTTGGGTGTCAGGCATGTTCGATTCAAGTTAAAGAAAAAAAATTCTCTATTATCTAACAGAATAAGATCAACCAAAGTGGCTTTCAAAGAGAGAAGCTCACAATTTTTCAAGTTAACTGGAAATCTAAATCCTACACTAACAAACAAATCAAAAAAATTGTATTTCTAGATCTCTTTTTTCTCATTGGAGCTCGTCTTGCTTTCGATTCAACCAGAGTTTTATTTCCCCGCGTTGGCCGGTCGCGTCTATGGAATTTGGGAGACGCTTTTTGGGTTTGACGCCAAACAGGCTTTTGTAGGTTTTTTCTTCTAACAAGGGAAGGTCAAGTGGATTTGCTAGCCGAATCACATGAGCCATAGACCTATCGCCGTAGAATTTCACGCTGATTCCGAATCTGCTTTCCGTTTTTGCTGAACGGCACATCCACTTGACCACTTGATCATGAGACTGCTCTTCTTTTTTTTGTAACAAAAATGGATCAGATCACTTGCAGAACGATCTGAGTTGTCTTTGGTTTTTGCGGAAAGGCCTAACCAGGGATGGTCAACTGGATGTGCCGGCCAAATCACATTAGCCATAGACCATTCGACGCAGAATTTCCCTCTGATCATGATGCTGCTTTTCTTTTTTTGCTACGGAGCACGCTGTACAAAGTTATACACGTTTAAAATTTTGTAAGGAGTTTTAAAAATCAAACCGCCACATTAAAACCCTGTCTTCTGCCAGCCAAGCTCTATGTGAGCTCAGCAGTTGCAGCGGTGGGCGGGTGGTACTGAGTTAGGACGAAAGGCGAGGACTATCCGGTTCGAGACCGGTAGTTTTTTCTTTTTTATCTTTTTTAGCTTTTAATGCCTTGCATGTTCTTTATGTGTATCGCACACAATCGTATGGCATCTGGCAAACAACTAATGCATTAAGACCATCAAGGCATTAAGACCTAAAGAAAAAAAAAGAGAATCAGCTCTCAGACTCGAACCAAAGAGAACCTCGCCTTCCACCATCCGGCAGCTACCAGACTTGCCTGGCGTTCTAACTCACCGGCTTACTCGGCCACCGCTGCAACTGTCGAGCTGGCAGAAGACAGGGTTTTAATGTGGCGGTTTGATTTTTAAAACTCCTTACAAAACTTTAAACGTGTATGACTTTTTACAGAGTGCTCCGTAGCAAAAAAGAAAAGCAGCATCATGATCAGCGTGAAATTCTGCGTCGAATAGTCTATGGCTAATGTGATTTGGCCAGCACATCCAGTTGACCATCCCTTGTAAGTTCACTGGCTCAGAGGAGAAGGAGAAAAAGGGGACAGACCGATTGAACATCTGGTCGATCAGTCAATCAGCTGAATACAAAATGGAAAGGAGAAGGAAAGATTTTGACAGCCAAAAAACGATTTTTGAGTCGTCAAAACCGTATACCGTATTTTCTGTAATAGTAGTGCGCACTACTATTTTTTCAAGCCCCTCCAGCCTGCACTACTATTACAGACTACACTACTATTATAGACTGCACTACTATTACAGAAAATACGGTAGTCGTTTTTGTGAACTCAGATTTACTATTTGATGAGATGCTCAAAATTCCATCGATCAAGACTGAACGGTGGCATTTATCTGGAAAATATCTGGCAATATCAAATAAGTTTTTCAGGCAACTGGAGCCTTTTGGGTGTGCGCATCGGTCACCACCCTTACTCAAGTATTTTTCTACAAATGGCAGAACTTGCTGCTGGATTCGAGCCGTTTCAAGTAAATCTTTAACATTTCAGCGTTCAATCTAGAAACCATCATAGATTTGGCCTACTCGGTCAACTTCTTTGGTTTTGGATCATTCATATTATGTTTGCCGTTTGGTTTCTGCTGGCAATTGAGATAGTTCCGTTGGAGAAAGGTGGAAAGGCATCCGGCTATCTTTGGGAAATGGCCAAGGTTAGACTCGGGAAAATCTTTTAGATTTATCTCAGCAAACCCTCGCGAATCTCCCACATTCAGCAATTTCCCTCATTCGACGATTTCTCGCTAGACGATAGTATTTACGTGAGCGCGCTGCGACCAATGTGGCCTCCGTATGTGAATTTGAGTGCAGTCATTTTTCTCTGTATCGGCATCATTCTCTACGTCTTGACTACGGTCTTGCAGGTAGAATATACCGTATTTTCTCTAATAGTAGTGCAACCAGAGCGTCGCCTAAATTGCTCGAAATCTCGAAAACCGCTCATGAGAACCTATTGATGTGCGGTCGGAAAATGTGGCTGATGATGGGATCTTGTGGGGAATTAGAGTGTTCAACTTCTGCAAAAGCTTGGAATCCGTAAAATAGTCACCAACTCGGCTCGCTGGGGGGCACTACTATTAGAGAAAATACGGTATGATCAAAACATTTGGTATATTTTGGTTAGGCGACCATGTGGCTAAAGAATTTGAATCTTAAAAACTAATTAGCATATAACTTTCAACATTTACAATTAAATTTTTATTAAAAAAGGATTTTTGGCATTTTTAAAAAAGGAAAGCCCTTAAAATCAGAGCTTTCGGGCCAATAAGCACTTAAAATATTGGGTTGGTGAATTGAAAAGCAAATGTCATTTAATATGGCAATATTGGGAGTTATGGGAAATATTGAAATTGAATGAGCAAGTGATTAGTGTGTCCGTGAAGAAAATATTGAAAATATTGAACTTGAAAAGCTTTGCGACTGATCAGACATTTTGTCCAAGTCTAACGCCATGTTTTTGCTTATGCTAGTGCGCTAAAAGAGTAGGGAAAGAGTGGTGGTTGAAGCCGACTGGAAAGAGTGAAAACCAGGAGCATTACCACTGTCCCACCGAGCCGCTACGCTGCTTCGACAAAGGCAATCGTAATATACCGCGCTCAGTGCACTAGAGGGTCAAATTTCAAATGCATTTTTACAGAAATCTAGAATGTTTGAGCAATAACTAAAAGCGCCATCGTATTGCCCGTGTTCGACTTGCGTAAGTCTTGGCTTTGGTTCGGATTTGGTTCGGATTTGGTTCGGAATCGCGAAATCTGGCTTCCCCTAGTTATTGGGTTGGTGAATTGAAAACTGCCGGTTATTGTCATATGTGACAGTTGAGCACTTTCTTCAAAAGAAACCCATTTTGGTGTCAATGGAAAAGTTGTAGAGAATCAAAAATTAAGCTTATATCCGAATTTTCAGAACGATTCTAAAACTGGCTTTCAAAAATTCCAAATTTACGATTTTCACAAAACTTGCATTTTAAGCGAAACTACTACGTGTATCTTTTTGGAAATTTGGCTATAAGCCTAATTGTTGATTCTCTACGGCGATAGGCCTATGGCTCGTGTGATTTGGCCAGCAAATCCACTTGACCTTCCTTTGTTAGAAAAAAAACCTACAAAAGTCTGTTTTGCGTCAAACCCAAAAAAGCGTCTCCCAAATTCCATAGACGCGGCCGGCCAACGCGGGGAAATAAAACTCTGGTTGAATCGAAAGCAAGACAAGCTCCAATGAGAAACAAAAGATCTAGAAATACAATTTTTTCATCGGTGTAGGTTTTTCATCAGTTTTTCATCGGTTTTCTTACAATACTGTGTAGCTATAATTGTGCCGCACTTTTAATAAACTTATTTCAGTGATTCTTTATCCAAAGTGAGCATTCTGGGAACTCGGCGGATGGCAAATAAAAGTTGACGTGATTTCCGACATAAACATTGGCGCTTTCGAAATGTTCGTCACTTATTAAACAAAGAAAATATTATGCAAGAAAATGTCACGTTTCTTTGCCTCCTCTTTTTCCGATAAGCTTCTCTCTTGATGCCACACGGTGATCGGCAAACTGCTTATTCAGCAAATGTACAAACAGCTCATTTGGGAAACTCAGCAACTGATTAGCAGCTCAGCAACTGATAAAAGCCTTAGGTTGATTCACTCGCCGGCAAATCTGTGTTTCTGAAATGGAGTCCCAAACGCATACACTGAGGTGAAAATAAAACTTTTCATTGCCTTGAAAAATTTTTGCGTAGAATTATCGATGAGGGCCATGAATCGAAGAGCCGACTCTACAAAATGCTCTCGATTTTTGCGATTCTTGGAGTCATCTTACTCTCAAGTGTCGCTTATTCGAGATATCCGGGCGATCGAGAAGCAAATCGGTACCCTGCTTTAACTTTATTTTTGATAAATTAGGTTTACTTTACAAAAGAAAAAGTCATTTTTATGAATTCAATTGTATGCTGTTAGCAAAACTTTTAAAAAACCACGAAACTTTTAAAAGACCAGGACTCCGGAAAAGAGCCACTCTTTTATCTATAGTTTTTAAAATAGTTTTTAAATCTTTGTTTTTCAGTCGACCGAGAAACACCGATGATGATGGCCAAGTTCTCTTGGATGTTTGCCGAAATCGAATGTTTGTTTATATTTTAGGCTATTATTAAGAGGAAAATCTTCTCGTTTTCAGGCATCGTTTGAATGGGAAAATCCGGGAAAGGTCTGGAATTTCTTGCTTCTTTTTTACGTCAAGCATTTTACAGGGATGAGAAACTTCTCGAGAGCACTGCTGAGATCGAGGCTCAAAAAAGACTCTTCAATGAGAGGTTTACCACAAAAGTGAAGATCGGAAAGATCTCCAATTTAGCTTGATGAAATGGGAGCAACAAATCACCGAGCTCAAATCGCAAATCGCGAGCCAACAGAACAAGTGTCGGTTATTTTCTAGAACACGTCATGAAGTAACTTTTTCAGCCAAGTATGCAATCAACCTCAGCCGAAGTGTCCAAATTGTGTCCCCGATTCTCCGTGTCCAAGTGCTTGGGTCTACTCGTCAAAGTTGAAGCAGTGCTACAAGGTTTGAAGATTAAAATAGTTGTTTCTTGTTTGTTGTTTCTCGAAAACTCGGCTACCCGTGAGCTGTGTCTGAAAATGAGTGCTGAGCTTTCAGCACATTTTTGACGTCGATTTTGCGACAGCTGATCGAACTTGCCGCTTGATGAACTCGCATTTGGCCTCAATTCATTCCGATGAGGAGAACGAGCTGCTCCTGGGTATGCTGAAAGTGAAAAAAGGGCGGCGGCTCCTTTTTCCGATATTTTCGAATGATAATTGAGGGATTCGCAAGTGTACATATGTGTTATAGTTACCTTAAAAGTTGCTTATGTTGCGAGTTTTGCTTATGTTACCAGCTTTTCGTATAGTTTAACCATCGGGTTTTACCAGAAACTTTTGTTTACAAGTTTACACTTTTTTTTACAAGCCTAAGACCCCAACTAATCAACTACTTTATCCGATTCTATCTGTCCAGAACGATTCAGCAATTAACTGACAGCAATTAACTGATAATTCTAATACTAAGTACTTCCACAAATTCCACTTGCAGCCATAAAACTTGCTTTACATAAAACACTTAATAAGTTACTTAATAAATCAGATTCGCCACTCTGTTACTAATTTCAGATCTCGGAAGAGCCGGTACGACAATGCCCGAGTGGCGACTGGTCCCCTTGATCGGAGGAAAGAGGGTAAAACTCAACCCTCAACGAAACATTCTCGATTCTAGACGGGTCCCGGCAAAAACGATTGGATTTGGGTGGACGGAAGCCCGTTCAACTACACCAAATGGTCGGCCGGACAACCGGATTTCGCCGCAAATGTCGAGTCTTGTCTTCAGGTGGGGAGGCTTTTGAGACGCAAACGAAATTAATTGCAGCTCTGGCCGGATCGGATGGCTGGCTTCGGCACGGACACCTATCAACTCAACAAATGGAACGACTACGTATGCGACCTTCGCTATCGAGTGGCGATTTGTAAGCAGCCGGCCAAATATTGAAAATGAAGCTTTGCTCTACTCGTTATTGTCTCCAAATCAGATTCTTCTTCGGAAAAATAACGTTTAATTTGTTTCCGTTTTGTAATATCGTGTTAATTCAAGGCGAATCCGATTAAAATTTTTCAATTGCTCTCAAATGCAAAAAAAAAGTGATCCAACGATCCTATCCGGTTCCGAGAACTTCGAGTAACTGAAAGTCTAATATAAGTATTAGACTGATCTTATCAATCTATCTGATTGCGTAATCGCCCGTCAACTGGCACACTGCCTGCACATAAGACCTCCGTTCTTGGCAGTGGGCCTCTTTCAACGCTTCAGATGCTCGTCGATGAATTTGGACTCAAGTCTGATCGCTCTTCTCTCACTCGAAGTGAAGTGAAGCTGAAGGGTGTCTTTTCTCGTCTTCTCCACCAAGCCGTCTTCTCCACCAAAAAAAGAACAAAAGAGAACGCACATTCTGTGGCTTTGCAAAAAAAGGACCTGGGACCGAGCCAAACCAGTGACCCTGGGACTACCAGAGGTCGGGCTTCTAACCACTCGGCCACTCCGCTAGCTGGCCACTTCGCTAGCTGTCCAGTGCCTCTGAGAGTTTCTTTTAAAGAGTGTCGTATATTATGATAGCGGATTCGTTCTCAGCCTCACCGTGTATTGTGATAAGTTGTGTACTCATATTTTTGCTTGTCTTTACGACTGTCTTCCAATTGGTGTTTGAGATGAATGTTTTCTAAAATTCGTAATCTATTAGGTTGTTCGGATATAAACGAGCGTTTGCAATGCTTAACTCGTGAGGAAGCCATTTCCCGCATTTGATCGCCTTTCCAATGGCGTGCAGATGCTCATCAATAGAATTTGAACATAGAAATTGTTGAGCAAGTTCACACGTCGTTTGACATGAATTCGATTCGATTGCAGCCCGCAAAACATCGTTGTCTACCGCTTGAGGTAGACAACGATATTCTTGACGACAGTGTTCATGATCCTCGAGACTTTCATCACCATTCCGAAAGCGTTGGAACCAGGCTCGGCATCGGCTTTCGGACAATACATCATTCCCAAATGCTTTGACCAAATCTCGATGGGATTCCGCAACTGTTTTGCCCAGTTTGAAGTCGTAAAGTAGGCAGAACTGTATTTATTTGAAGTCGGTCATCTAAAAGATCTTAAAAATAAGAAATTATCCGTTTAAAAAGATTCCAAATATACTTTTTAAATAAAGAAAGACATGTTTTAAAAGCTTCTCTCACAACTTCTCTCACATAAGTTTGGCAACGCTTGTTTATATCCGAACAACCTAATAAAATCTAAAACCCGAAGCTATTGTGCTTCTATTCAAAAGTTTTCCTTTCCGTCAAGCCTTCACAAAATTTACCGCTTATTTCCGTTTCCATTTTCCAGTGTGCCAGAGGTCATTTGTTTCTATTTTGTTCTAAACTATTCACAATCTTTATTACCACAAAAGCGTCGAAAAACGTTCGTCTTTTTTTAAGTTTCTATAGAATCTCCACAGTCGATTGAGATACTTTTTCTGATTGAACCACTCGTTTTCGGGGAGGAAAAGCAAAATTTGATACAAGAGAAGAGCAGAAATTGTCACGAGGAAAAAAAGGAAACCAAATCCTCGAAAAAGTCTAAAGAAGTTGGGTAGAACAGAAGCAAATATTCGCCGTGAATGAAAGAAGGCAACATTGGAAGTTCGTCTAATCAAAAAAAGTATATTTTGTAGTAGGAAAAAGGTTAGCAGAAAGATTCCTGGAACCCATGTAAACATCGTCTCACCGACATCCCGAAGTAGCTGACCGAAAAGGATTCTTAGCTGAAAATTTCTTTCGTTAATTTAATGCTAAACTCTACAGCTATTGGGTTGGTGAATTGAAGACTGCGGGACTTTGAACTCAAATTTATTGAACATAAAGCCATCAATTCATTCCAAACAATTTCCATTATTATTGACGACTTCTGCCCATTTTACAGGCAATTTGCGGATTCCTTGTTCGTAGTAGGATTTTGGTTTGTGTGTGAGACAAGTGTGAGGCTCAAAAATGGAGGACTGGAGATGTCAGCTGTCAGCCCAGTTTGAACACTTTCTTCAAAAGAAATCCATTTTGGTGTCAATAGAAAAGTTGTAGAGAATCAAAAATTAGGCTTATAGCCAAATTTTCAAAAAGATACACTTAGTAGTTTCGCTTAAAATGCAAGTTTTGTGAAAATTCGTAAATTTGGTATTTCTTGAAAACCAGTTTTTGAATCGTTCTGAAAATTTGGATATAAGCTTCATTTTTGATTCTCTACAGCTTTTCCATTGACACTAAAATGGGTTTCTTTTGAAGAATGTGCTCAAACTGTGACATATGACAATAGCCAGTAGTTTTCAATTCACCAATCCAATATTACGGAAAAAGCACTCGATTTCGCTAAGAATTTTGGGGACGCTTCTTTCTAGGCAAGCGATAGATGCTTGATTGATTTTCATGTTTTTGAATAAAGTTTACCAGTGTTTAAGCATTTAAATGTTGTGTTAAAGCCACAAAATGATATTTGTCAGCTTATTCACATTCACAGCTTATTCCATTGACACTAAAATGGGTTTATTTTGAAGAAAGTAAACAAACTGTGACATATGATAATAGCCCGCGGTTTTCAATTCATCAACCCAATAGTAAACGAAATTTGGTAATTTTTTTGAGAAAAACAACTCACATCATGAAACCACGTTTTCTTATTTTCGGCCACGATGTGTGCCTCTCTTGTCACTCGATTGTATACAACTCTCATAGCTCTTTCGAGAAAATAATCTTGATCTAATAATTTTTAGATACTTCGCTTTTGTTCAGAAACAAACTTGTGTTCGGAATCTGAATGAGATTTACATATCTTGGAACGCAAAATCCTAGGTTTTGAATCCTTTGATAGTTAGCTGCGCTAGTCGGATGAGTACATGGAAACTGCGAAAAGGTTTTTGATAAAGATTCCCCTGATTGCTTACTGTTCCATGCGGTCGAATGAGTGGATTGATATCTCTGAAGAGACTCGGTGATTTGATTCCTTGCGTTGTCCGTTGAATCTGTAGTTTGAAATCTGTAGTTTTGCTTGGGAAAATGTTGAAAATCTCCTGAATAGGACTTTTATGAGATTTATGGGACTTTTATAGGACTTTTATGAGACTTTATAGGACTTTTATAGGACTTTTATGAGACTTTATAGGACTTTTATAGGACTTTTATGAGAGACAGCGAAAACTTTGTATTTCAAACTTAAAGTTACCGAAAATTTCCAATGATTTCAATGATCAAAACTACCGAAAAACCGTTTTTACTTTTCTTTTCCAATCCAACATCGTTTCGTGCAGTTCTTCAGCAGTCAAGCGATCATCCTTTTCATGAGCCCAACAACTGAAAAGGTTAATGATCGACTGAAACTGTTTCAACTGAAAAGATCGAAGCTCCAGAAAAGACTTTGAATTTTCCTCTTGAACTCTTAAAATTTGTGTTCTCTTAACTAGACTTCGGAAAACAAAACAAAACTTAACCAAAACCAAAACCACCAAAACCAAAGCAGACCAAAACCAAAACCAAAACTAACCAAAACTCGCCAATATCTCTTGATTGGGAGGAGCTAGCGAAAATCTGTTTGCAGATTTGAAATCAACGTCCAAAAATCTATCCCATGGGCTATTTTTTGTTTCGAAATTTCGAGGTCATGTTTTGGTCCTTTTTTCGGCCGCGAGATTTTGTGGAATGAGAAAAAGTGAAAGGCAAATTTGCATTTTACAATTTTAAATTTACAAGTTAATTTATATGCAAATTGAGTTTTGGTTTGTTTTGGTGTTTTGGTTTTGGTTTTGGTTTTGGTTTTGGTCTGTTTTGGTTTTGGTTTTGTTTGTCGAACTCTACTCTTAACTCTTTCGTATGTTCGTATGAAAATTTTGTGAAAGAGTCTAACCTCTCAATCACTTCTCGAATGGCCGGATGTGTTTCATCGAGTGGCAACCGCTCTCCATTCCCCACTCTTTCCCACAAATCATCCGTATCAACTGCTGGGTTTTCCGCATTATGGTCGATAAATGGAAATCTATTGAGTTCAATGATAAAGAAATTTCTTAGAAATTCGCAAACGCTTTGAAGACAAGTTGCCAGAGAATCATTCCCACACTGTACACATCATCTCGATGATCAGCCAAGTGGTGTAACTGAATTGGCCTTGGCAATATCCAAAGGTAACTTTTTAAGTTCCCGTAAAAGCTGTAATAGTAGCCCCTCTTTAATAATAGCCCCCAAATTTGCATTTACAGGTTTTATCATTGCTCTCTTTCCTACTCAAAGCCCCAATTGTGCCCCCAGGCACACCAGTCTAAAATGCTTTCATGCGCCAATATGGCTCCATCACCGCATGTGCTGGTAAATTGATGCAAATTAATAAATACTATTACAGCTTTTACAGTAACTTGATTGATTTGTTTTGTCTCAAACAAAGTCCAAAGAATCTAAGGGCAAAATCCACTGGTTTTCCGGTGGATTCTAGCTTATAAAGTAATTTTGGGCAAAATCCACTGGTTATCCGGTGGATATCAACCTATGAAGAATCTAAGGGCAAAATCCACGGGTTTTCCGGTGGATTTCTTTGTTCTGTCTCCCCACCGGATTTGGCGCGGCAAAGCGGATCGTTCCGCCCCTTCCCACAAACGTGTCCTCCCAGGCAGAAATCCCGAAATCACAGACTCGAATCTCTCGGTGTTTATTGAACATCATTATGCTAAAATTATTGCTGTAGGTTTTCAGTAGTGTCTAAATTCACTTGGCTGGTTTGAGGTCACGATGCACGAGCTCTTTCTGTTTTAGATAGACCAAAACCGAGGCCAACTGCTCCATCCAAAGAACGATGTGAGTGACATTGTACAGTGGGCTCACTTCCCAGCCCATAATTGCTGAAATTTTAGATTTGCTTTCATTTAATTATAACTTTAAACAGTTTTCTGTAGATCTTCAACATCTTCAACAAAACTTGCACAAGAAAAGTAGTGAATTAGCTTTGCAGCATGTTTTCGGAATAGTACAGTTTGGTTTACAGTAAAAAAAGGCTCTCTTTCGTCAATATTTTGAGATATAGGAAGGTTTTTTACAGTTTTTTATGACACAGTTATTCTATGAGACTTGACAATTCTAAAACGTATCATTATGAAGAGTGCTCTCATGGCACAACTCCAACACGAGTCCCCTCGGAATATCATTTCCATCAAAGGCGACGCCGAGTATCTAATTCAATAGATTTCTCAAAAAGTTTCTCGAAACTTACTTCAACGATAAATTTGCAATCTTTGACATATCTGTGTCTGTTGGCTTCTCGAAAAGTCTCTTCCGGATCCTCGATTTGTTTTACTGCCACATCCCGGCTGAAAAAACGATAAACTTATTAGAACGATAAAGAAAAAAACAATTTTCGGGAGTGGGACAAATGCGATCTTTTTTTTGCGCACCCGGACATTTGCGCAGCTTTTTTTCCGCACCTTGCCCATTAGCGCACCTTTTTTCGCGTTTTAAAAAAGCTCTGAAAAGCCAATATTAACCAATTTCTATTCCAAATGTTGTTTTTCTAGGTAATTTGAGGGCGTAGAATCGAAATTTTGACGTATCAGAGCTTGTGGAAACAAACGGACGGAGTTATACAAAGAGAAAAATCGACCATTTTCTGTAATTTGATCTAGCCGTTTTGTCTTTCAAATTGGTTCCACACGCTCTGTTATGTCAAAATTTGAATTCGACACCCTCAAATTACCTAGAAAAACAACATTTGGAATAGAAATTGGTTATTATTAGCTTTTTAGAGCTTTTTAAAACGCGAAAAAAGGTGCGCTAATGGGCAAGGTGCGGAAAAAAAGGTGCGCAAATGTCCGTGTGCGCAAAAGAAAGGTCGCATTTGTCCCACTCCCCAATTTTCGGTGACTAAAACTCAAAAGTTTGTAGTTTTATTGAAAACTCACTTCTGCAACCTATCGTAGAAAACTCTTCCCTGAGCGCCACCGCCAAGCTCAAGTCTTTGCTCGAATTCATTGAGATGAAAATGAAAGTTTCGGAAAGTTATGGGAATCATTTCTGGAAAATGAACTGTCGATGGAGGCCTTATATTAGTGAGTTGTTTTCCTCTGAGCTTCTTATCTTCTCTTTCGTTATCTCTTGTGCAAGTTTATCTTTTTGAAAGTTGAGCAAATATTGGGGGAACACTGGGAAAATCTGTTCTTCTTAAAAATTCTTCTTGGTTTTCCCAAAACTTTTTTGGGATTAGGTTGACACAAAATCCGTGAAGAGCTTTTGAAAATCAGGGAACAATTGCTGCTGCACAAAGAAGCGGTAGACGCTCACCCGTCGTCACAAAGACAAAAATCAAGCAAGTGAGAGACCGAATTCGGAAGAAGCCAATTCGGCAAGACAAATGGCAAAGAAGATGGCGATTTCAAGCACCTCATTGCGTCGGATCCTCAAAAATAAGCTCAAACTTACTGCTTACAAGAAAAGCAAGGCTCAACTTTTTAGAATGCCACTAAAAACAAGCGAAAATTGAGAGCAGATCTTTTTGAAAGTTGAGCAAATATTGGGGGAACGCTGGGTAAATCTGTTCTTCTTAAAAATACTTCGCGGTTTTCTCAAAACTTTTTTGGGATTAGGTTGGCACAAAACCCGTGAAGAGCTTTTGAAAATCATTAATCAAAAGTGTGTGACGATTTGTGAAGAAGATTTTCTTGGGAAAGTTTCAAATAACTTTAGCGAATGAAACTCTTTGCCTTTGCCAAAAGTCATGAGATATTTTTAAATAGATATCCCAAATGCTCTGACTGTCAAAAGCTCTGTCCGATTTGGAGATATTTATTCGATAAAACCGCCAAATTTCGGATATCGGACAAGAATTCGATGGACCAGCTTCCGTACTCCCTGCCCTGTCGTCTTCTCGTCACTTTCTTGTCATGGTTCAAGATTTTCAGCCAACATGCGACAGTGGCCAGTCGACGCCTATATAAGGGCGCATGGTGCGACAGCAAATAAATATTTTTATACCTTTAGGCAGACTAAAAGTAAATAAAATCCGTATATTGAATCCGTATTGAATGTATATTTAATCTGTATATTGTATCTGTATGCGACGGATTCAATATCCGTCGCATTTCTGTGTGTCATGAAGTAGTCTGGAAAGAAAACATCAGAAAAACATCAGCTAACATATATAAATATTTAGAGTGATTACTCGTGTTTCTCGAATGGTTTCTGATCTCTTGCATAGCCCGAATCGGACTTTTGTCTACCAAATTGGCGTACAGCTGAAGGAAAATTGTTTTTGCTCGACAGCAAATAAATCTTTTTATATCTTTAGGCAGACTAAAAGTTGGCTAACCCGTAATTAGATTGGTTCTTACCTGCAAATTAGTTTTTCCATCAGAGAAAGATTTTCAATTCCCTTTATCCCGCAGCCATTATGTTCGTTTTATTCAAATCGATCAAAAGCTCCAGATTCCATGATCTTTTTATCGTTTTGATTGTTTGGTTTGGATTAGCTGGTAGAGTTCAACTATTGAACTTTAAATTCTGTGAAGTTTTAGGATCCTATCTACTAATCCAAAGAATATGCATAGAAATCTATGCAGTAAACTATTTCCGAAAAAAGCCGGATATCAAAAAGAAAACGAGGGATATGTTGATGGATATTTTGATGAGACTTAACGATGGGGTAAGCCAAGCCAAAACCGAGGTTTACTCTTTCATTACTCTTTCAGATCATCTTCTCCAGTCTATTTTTGACCCCACCAGCTATGTACATTGCAATTACAAATACTCGGCTAACATTGCCAATTCGGTTTGCGTTTTAAATCCTTCATATAGCCGTAAAGTAGTTTTATGACTGACCTAAAGCTTTAAGACTGTTGGTTACAACTGAAAACGGACTTCGATTCATTTTTGCTGCAACCATTTCTCTTGCTAAACTTTGTGATCGCGAAGAGATCGGCTGGTTGAGGTTCAGATTTGATTATGAAAACAAAATAGACTTTCGTATTGGTTAAATAGAAAGAGTACAGAATAGACTTGTAATGAAAACGTCTGCCGTTTCTTTTTTGCCATTGGCAATCTAATGTTTTTCGTGTTTTTCTCAGCACCAACCCTTCGATCTTGACTATTTTGACTATCATTTGATGCAGAATAGAATTGCACGTCGAATGATATCAAAATCAACTCAAAATATAATATTCATATAAAGTTAAGAGACAAAAGGTTAAGTCCCGCCAATAATGGACGGGGTTTAGGTTTTTAGGCAACAACTTTGCAGGGAAATTATATTTTGAGTTGATTTTGATATCATGCGACGCGTCAATTTTATTCTGCATCGAATGATAGTCAAAATAGTCAAAATCGAAGGGTTGGTGCTGAGAAAAACACGAAAAACATTAGATTGCCAATGGCAAAAAAGAAACGGCAGATTTTTTTCGTTATAAGTCTAGTGCAGAATAGAAAATAGATTACGGTACGCAAGTACTTTCGCAGTTTTGAATCAGCAACTTTAATTCATTTTATAATATTACGATAGCAGGAGGTTGCGGCACAAAACATGCGGGTTACTTTCAATACCAAAATATTCAGCTTATCTTCGATTTCTACGTAAAAGACGCTAATTCGATCGATAAAGTTTGAAAGCCAGCAATTTAGATGCTCTGCTTCAACCACACAAACACTCTGGCACTATTATTTTTTCGTAGATACCTACAATCTTTTCCAAATTGCTCAAGTGTGTCAGCTGTTGCTTTCATTGAGGTTTGTGTGCCGGATGATCGATATTTTCATTAGCTACCTCCAAATTTTAGTCGCTTCATGGCCTGCACTCTTGATGGTCTTTATTTTCGTTACACCAAACGCTGGCCACTCGTTCAAGTGATGTTGCCATTTCTCTTGTGTGCTTCAATCACCCACCTCGGTGACTATCTATCGGATCTCACAGGCACTTCGATAACAAAAGAGGATTTTATGGAAAGCATTCTGCTATTGACTTGTGCTCTCGATTTCGTCACAAATCGAAATCTTAACAAGGTCATCTCAACATCTTAACAGCTTTTTGCCAATACTGCCTGTAACGGGGAGCATAACATGCTAGATTTTTGGGCTCTTGCAACCTAAAGGCGGCTCTTGCAACTTAGAGGCGGCTCCTGCAATTTAGAGGCGGCTCTTGCAACCTAAATGCGGCTCTTGCAACTTAAAGACGGCTCTTGCAACCTAAAGGCGGCTCTTGCAACCTAAAGTCGGCTCTTGCAACTTAAAGGCGGCTCTTGCAACCTAAAGTCGGCTCCTGCAACCTAAAGGCGTCTCTTGAATGAGTAGTCAAGGTTTAAAGGTCCATAACTTGTTTAGAGATCATATTATTCTTAACTTTTTATATTGTTTTAACGAGAACAATCATTCGAAAGCCTGACTTGTTCTCATTTAAAAAACTCAAAAGTTAAGAATAATATGATCTCTAAACAAAGTTCTGGATTTTAAACCTTGACTAATGATTCAAAAGCCGCTTTTAAATTACAAGAGCCGATTTTTATCCTCTGGAGTCTTTAGAGTTTTAAAGGTACTGTAAAAAGTCCCGTATCAAAATCGGCATGAAGCGGCCTGAACGGAGACTTCGCGACCCATTTTGGCAACATCAAGTTTAGTCTTCGCATTTATTGCTTTTTCTCTTTCGCTTTGGCTTGTCCGTTCCCTCGTTTGCTTCTTTGTCCGATTCCTCGTGCAATTCTTCGCTCAATTCACGTTGATTTTCTTGTCCTTCTTCAAAGAATCCGTTTAGTTCGTGCTCACGTCGATCGCGAAACGCTTCAAAGTCATCCCAGCGTTTGTGACCACTCACCAATCAAAAAAATTATCGACGGGTCACTCGCTTCTTTTTTTCAAGAATTTATATTGCCAAAGCTTCATCAAGCTCTTTTGAGACCAAAGCGCTTCCGCCACCATCAAGTCTCTTCCTTTTTTCGTGCATTTTGCTCAGCTCATTTGTTTCTTTGACGTATCGTTGGACACAAACTCGATCAATTTTGTAGAACTTGGCAACGGCATGGACGGAGACTTCGCGAGCCATTTTTGCAGCATAGAGCATATTTATTGCTTTCTCTCTTTCGTTTTGGCTTGTCCATTCCCTCGTTTGCTTCTTTGTTCGATTCCTCGTGCAATTCTTCGCTCAATTCACGTTGATTTTCTTGTCCTTCTTCAAAGAATCCGTTTAGTTCGTGCTCACGTCGATCGCGAATCGTTCAAAGTTATTCCAGCTTTCGTGATCGCTCATCAAACCTAAAAAAAATAAAATTATCAAAGAAAACGAATAAGAAATGCTAGAAAAGCTAGAAAAGAAAACGAATAAGAAATGCTAGAAGCGCAGTAAAAAGGAGAAGAATTGAATGAAAATGTTGCAGTTGCAAGCTAAAAAACAAAAAGCAGAATATCTGGAGATTTCTCTTAGGCATTAAGATATTCAGTCAAGTGGCGCTACTATTTTTTCCAATCATTCGAAAGCCTGACTTGTAAAAAACAAAACAAAATGTTAAAACAATATAAAAAGCATTTTGTGGAACTACTTTTGTAAGACGATTAAAATTGCGCTTCCCATATGTGGATAATGTGCTATTTGCAACAAAGTTTGTCCGTTTTGAATGTACCGATCCCTTCTGCAAACCCCTTTTACAAAGTTTTGTTGTCACTCATAAAGAATACGAGGAAATCACATCAGAAATACACAAAAATATCTTATCTACCTCTCCTCTTTCATTTTCATTCATTTTAGCTGAAACGTCAAGGTATCGCAAGTCGAGCTGAAACCCTCCTCATGTCGCAGGTGACAGTTTCACTAAACTTTTACGAATCAAACGAGCAAAAGAGGTTCAATTACCCAAGTAGTGTTCTAGCAAGCTCACGTCGATCGCGAAACGCTTCAAAGTTATCCCAGCTTTCGTGATCGCTCATCGAACCTAAAAAAATAAAATTATCAAAGAAAACGAATAAGAAATGCTAGAAGAGCAGTAATAAGCTCAAAGCTCGCCAAAAGCAATTGGCAAAAATCAATTCCAGATGATCACCAACTCATTCCTACTCATATTCTTTTCACACTGTCAAGAAATTATTATAATGGTGCTCAACTTGTTCTTCGGAGAACGCTTCAATTGGATTGTTATTCTCACTTTGATAGCGCTGCAATGTTTGCTTTACTACGTTTTTTTAAGGTGATTAGAAGAGAATATTCTGTAAAATTTCAAATTTACAGTGCAATTAGTATATTTTTCTTGCGGAAACGAGATGAGCAATCGCCGAAGAAAGCCTTTTTCACCACTACCAATGTTTTTACTGTAAACAGCAAAACCAAAACCATGCGTTGAGAATTTTGGACAGATTTTGGAGTACTTTTGATGGCACTTTCAGATCAATATAGTACTCTTTCAAGTTATATAGGTCTTCAGAACATTTTTATAATAACATCATCTTTTAAAGCTTTGTTTAGCTCTAACAGCTTCAATCATCTACTTTACGAGTAAACAAACTTCTCGGAAATAAGATGGAATCTTCTATTTTGTTAGGTCAGGCTCTTCAGCTCAAGCTCTTCAGCTCAAGCTCTTCAGCTCAAGCTCTTCAGCTCAAGCTCTTCAGCTCAAGCTCTTCAGCTCAAGCTCTTCAGCTCAAGCTCTTCAGCTCAAGCTCTTCAGCTCAAGCTCTTCAGCTCAAGCTCTTCAGCTCAAGCTCTTCAGCTCAAGCTCTTCAGCTCAAGCTCTTCAGCTCAAGATGTTACCATTCTTAAAACTTTTGCGTTTCCGTGAATAAGGCTTAAATTCAAGTGTTTCACTCAAAAAAAACAGTAAAATCGGTAATCTTTTTGGTCCATTTGGTCTCCTTCCCTTTTAAATCTTATTCAAAATAGAACGTGTTCAGAGGCACTTCCCCAGAATTGCTCTTTATAAAATTTTTATAGTTTTATAGTTTTTCAAAAGCGTTCTAATTTTATGCGTTCTAAGCGTTCTAGCATTCTAATGTTACTGCTGATAAAATATTAGTTGGTTTTAGGCCTAGATCTATCCATAGAACCCCCACAAGGGGGACCTAAAGTCAAGATTTCGTGGGGGTCAGCGGGTGTCATTCTATGTATTAGATGCTGTTATTCTAATACAGCATTTACGGTAACTTATATTTAAACTGCCTCGGAAAAGAGTCAAAAGTAGTTCTAGCCTAACAATAGCAGGACAATAGTCTAGTTCTAATGACTATTCTAATGACTATTCTAATGACTATTCTAATGATTATCTCTTCCAACAAGTCATTATTGTCTGAAAAAGTTTCCTCTTGGGAAATCTTGCTAGATTCTTATCATTTTTCTTGCTAGATTTTCCAAATTGACCGCTCCATGCAGATTTAGATTAATAGCGGTGATTTGGAATTAGATTAGCTCAAGAAAGTGCAAAGCGTGAAGGGTGAAACAATGGAAAAATCGGAAAACATGTCAAAGACGTTTGAGAGGTTCATAAAATGAAAGGTTTCTTAAAATGAAAGGGTTTCTCTCTTAATTTGAAATCGAAATCGTTCATTGTTGTGATTTGATCAATTTCGAATACCTTTATTCATGTTTTTTGAATTGTGCCATTATGTACTCTTTTCAATTCGAATAAGCTTTTTTTTGTTGTCATTTCGCTATTCGAAGTCTTTAGTTCAGCCAATCGATTCATTTGCCACGGCAATGTAATTACCGTAAATACTGTAATAGTACCCCACCCCCCTAATGACGGTGCGGAGTGTTGCGTAGTCTAGCTTTGGACGCGTTTTTCTCGACACTGGTTTATGCTACAATGCGCGTTTAGGGATCAAAAAATAGCCCTGAATTTCAGCTATTTTTTGATACCAAAGACGCATTTTTTGAAAGTACGGGCGCTTCGAAAAAGATGAAATACTAAAAACTTTTGCGACTACGCGACTGTACGAGAAGGGTGGGGTACTATTACAGTATTTACGGTAGCTTTTGCTGTCATTTAAGAGTGTCAAAGTTGATTCATTCATTTCCACATAAATTTCAATTGATTGAAATAAATGTCTTTGCTTTCAGCGCCACTGAAAACAATGCGTTCACCATAAGCATTTCGAACGGTGGATTCGGGAGATATCTGGAAACATTAGATTTAGATTTACGAACTTAGATTTACGTCTATGAACTAGATTTCAAGTTTCCAGTTTTAAAAAAGCAACAAGCAAAGCTACTTACAGTTGGCCGTCTCTTGATTAGTCCCAAAAATTGAACTCGAAGATTTCTCTCGGCAAATATTGTAAGAAACATTTGAATCACTATCTAGAATATTGACCTTTTGAAAGTAAAGTTATTTTTGTTTTGGAAGTAGCTATTACTGTTTGGAAAGTAGTTATTACTCACTTGATACTGTAATAGATAAAAGAAAATAAAAGTGGTAAATGTTTGGTAGTAATCGTCAACCATATCAACAGCAAATTGATAGAAGGCAATGATTGCAATACTCGTCGCACACTAAGTGTTTTTGGTGATTATAAACTTCAGGTTTATGTGCTTTCTAAACGAATCAGATATTCGAAGTGTAACAACTTTTAATGTACCGTAATCTTGTCTACTGTTTGTTTATCTAGTTGAGTTAAATCAATTCTAAAGTCACTGCACGATTCTTGGTGTTTTTGTTTCCAATTGAAGTCTCAGCTAGAAGATGACAATATATTACAATAGAATTTTATATAGAAAATGACATTTTCCCTAATAGCTCACCCCACCGTTGATGACTATTTTGCGGTTTCCAAGCTTTCACAGAAGCTCAACACTCTAATCCCCCGCTAGTTCTCATCGTCAGCTACATTTTCCGACCCCACATCGATAGGTTCTAATAAGCGCTTTTCGAGATTTCAAGCAATTTAGGCAACGCTCAGGGTGCACTACTATTAAAGAGAATACGGTACTTACGGACGCCGATTACCTCCAAAATTGGTGAGGAGGTAGAATCGACTCTGGGGAACAACATATCAGTAATTCAGCTGGAAAGCTCTAAGATTACGGTAGTTATAGTGTTTTTAAT